CGGGATGTCATATCAGGGCTGTTATGTTCGTCTTTGCTGCTGGCAGCTCGGGCACTCAGCTATGGGGGTGACCTTGTAAGTCTTGGTGAGAAGTCACCCTAATGGTAAATCTCTACATAATCCCCCTCCCTTCCACCAGCATAGTGTTTATAGAAGAGTGAACATAGATGGCATTGTAATGAGGGCAGCTCCATTTGTACTTGCTCTCTTGGCTTATCAGCAAGCCCTCTTTTAACTCCCAAAGGAAGCTCAATTTGAATAATACCTAAAAACAAAAAAATATTTTAACTTTGCCATAGAGTGGATTCCTACTCACTGAGACCCTACAAGACAGAGCAGAACTTCCCCTGGCGGGCAGGGGGCTGAGGTTTTACATCTTTACAGGAGTCCAAATCCCCCACTTCCTCCCACAGAGCAACTGACGCCGCCAATGTATAATCCACTGTGCCACCAGGGGTCAGCACTAAAGTACATGATCATTAAATTTGTAGCCCATTGTGCATACATTGGTATATAACGGTTGTTCTTCACACAACAGGTCAACGTTCAATTATATTTTTAAGTGATTCTTATTACCAGGGCCTGCCAGAAGAACAAACAAATCTGTCTTGGCAGAAGTACAACCCAAATGCTCCTTAGAAGCACGGATGGTGAGGCTTCCTCTCACAGACTTTGCACATATTTCAGGAGATAGCAGTTCCTGGAAAGGACATTGTCCTTCCTGAAGTAGAGGGCTCAGCGAAAAAGAAGTGAATTGACACAGTGGTTGCCACGATGGCCTGAGAGGTAAAAGCCTTGAGGAGGAGGACGCAGAAGGGCCAGTGTTTTGCTCTGTGTACACAGGGCTGTATGAGTTGGAATCAACTCACTGGCATCTGGCAACATCTCAGCACGAAGTAAAGGTGCCGGAGGGCATCAGCACTTTGCTCTGGCCTGCTAATATCCAGGTTAATGGTTTCAGTGAACCAGCAGCTCATCAGAAGAGATGCATGAAGGTCAACTTCTGTAAAGATGACAGCCAAGACAAGCCTAGGGGGTTGCCATGAGTCAGCATCAACTCAGCAACAATGGATTTGGTTTTGGTCAACAATGAAACTCTCCCCATAAGCAAGGGCCTTGAGAAATAGAGGAAAGAACTAGGAGGCAAAGGGCATTTATAGAAGCTTAAATACAGGCATGGACACATATAAATATATTTATATATGATGATGGGGAAATAGATTTATGTGCATAAATTTACAGGATTAGTATTAAGGTAGCTGATGGACATTGGGCCTCTACTCAGGTACTCTCTCAATGCAAGAACATTTTGTTCTATTAAACTAGCATTCCATGATGCTCACCTTTCCGACGATCACTGAAGACAAAGTGGGTGCATAAGCAAACATGGTGAAGAAAGTTGATGGTGCCTGACTATCAGAAGATATAGCATCTGAGGTCTTAAAGGCTTGAAAATAAACAAGTGGCCATCTAGCTGAGAAGCAACAAAGCTCACATGGAAGAAGCACACCAGCCTGGGTGATCATGAGGTGTCGATGGGATCAGGCATCAGGCATCAAAGAACAAAAAATCATATCATTGTGAATGAGGGGATAGTGCAGAGTGGAGACCCAAAGTCCATCTGTAGGAAACTGGACGTCCCTTTACAGAAGGGTCGCGGGGAGGAGACGAGCCAGTCAGGGTGCAGTATAGCAACGGTGAAACACACAAGTTTCCTCTAGTTCTTTAATGCTTCTCCCCACACACCCCCCCAACCAGCATGATCCCAATTCTACCTTACAAATCTGGCTAAACCAGAGGATGTACACTGATACAGATAGGAACTGGAAACATGGAGAATCCAGGACAGATAAACCCCTCAGGACCAATAATGAGAGTAGCAAGTGATACCAGGAGGGGAAGGGGAAGGTGGGGTAGAAATGGGGAACCGATCACAAGGATCTACATATAACCCCTCCCTGGGGGATGGACAACAGAAAAGTAGGTGAAAGGAGATGTCGGACAATGTAAGATATGACAAAATAATAATAATTTATAAATTATCAAGGGTTCATGAGGGAGCGGGGGCGGGGAGGGAGAGGAAAAAATGAGCTGGTACCAAGGGCTCAAGTAGAAAGCAAATGTTTTGAGAATGATGGTGGCAACAAATGTACAAATGTGTTTGACACAATGGATGGATGGATGTATAGATTATAATAAGAGCTGTACAAGCCCCCAATAAAATTATTAAAAAGAAGAAAGGGCCTTGACCAGGCATATATGACAGCAATTACCAAAATGTAAAGTTACTTGATATTTATACCTTAAGAAGCCAAGACCCATCAACTATGCCAGTTATATATTAACATTATCATTGGCTTTCTTTTTTTGTACACCTCTGAGACTGCTCCCCTGGCACAGTACATGTCTTAAAAAAAATACCCCAAAACCATGATTAAGAACCTCTATGAAGTGAATGATAGGGGGAGTGTGGAGTGGAGATCCAAAGCCCATTAGTAGGCCACTGGAGATCCCCTTGCAGAGGGGTCTGGGGGAGGAGATGAGCCAGTCAGGGTGCGATGTAACAATGATGAGAAATACAACTCTCCTCTAATTCCTAAATGTTTCCTCCCCGCTCCCACTACCATGACTCGAATTCAACCTTGCAAGTCTGGCTAGACCAGAGGAGGTACACTGGTACAGATAGGAACTGGAAATACAGGGAATCCAGGGCGGATGAGCCCTACAGAACCAGTGGTGTGAGTGGCGAAACAGGGAGGGTAAAGGGAGAGTGGGTAGGAAAGAGGGAACCGATTACAAGGAACTATATGTCACCTCCTCTCTGGGGGACAGACAACCGAAAAGTGGGTGAAGGGAGACGTCGGACAGGGCAAGATATGACAAAATACCAATTTATAAACTATCAAGGGCTCATGAAGGAGGGAGGGGAAAAATGAGGACCTAATGTCGGGGGTTTAAGTGGAGAGAAAATGTTTTGAGAATGATGTACAAATGCGCTTTACACAATTGATATGTGTATGGATTGCGATAACAGTTGTATGAGCCCCTAATAAAGTGTTAAAAAAAAAAAAAAGAACCTCTATGAACAAAAGTTATGGCCTTTTGTGCCAAGCAATTAATCCCATAGCTTCTATTGTACAGGTCGCTCATTAGACTTTCTTTGAGAATACACATTTATGTTTAGTTTCAAAGCTTTCGAGAGTATGGAGGAAAGTTCTCCCGAATACTAAACACGTAGGGAAGGAGAAGATGCACAGCAAGTTGAAGAAGACAATCAAGCCTTACAGCAAAAGTCAATGAAGTGTTGCCCAAAGAAGCCTGCCACTTGGGAATGAGGGCAAGTAATGGTTTCTTCTTTGTTTTTAACTCAGTTTTTTTACAAAATCAGCTATCAGCTTCCTTTATTTACTAGTCCCAACACTGCTGAGCTTCCCAGGCATTGAGGCGTTTACCAAATGGGCTTATTGGGCTTCTGACAAGTACTTTAATCATAAACCAAAACAAGAAGAAAGAAATTATTGCATTGGTTTTTAAATTATACCAACTAGAAAATTTCAAGCATTGTTTTTGCTTTGGGGGAGGGGGCAACAGAAAAAAATTCAATTTGGTCCCTTTCCAAATGACAAAGTATATGTGTTCTAAGGGTTTTATCCAGATGCTGCGAAATAGTATATGAAACAGTAAATTTATAAAATCAATTAAGAGAGATAATTAAATGCAAAGGGTTAATGACAGTGTGATTAGTTGGACAAAAGTTTGGTTTCTACAGAGATTTGTTTCAAGTACAATTAAATAAAATGAAGTAGACTTATTAAACAAATAAGCCATTCTTATCTTTTTTATTTTCCTATGAAATTATATTGTTAATGCTAATACATCATCGTCAGTATTTAGGGTTACAGTCACACGTTTTAAAAATTAAATAATAGCGAGATGCAAATTTTTCTTTCGGGGAAGGAAAAATAAAGGCAATATTCTTTTTATCTTACAGTATTATATCTCATCAGAAACCCAAACCAAGTTGACATGCAGTCGATGACATAATTTAATAACTAATATTTATTCTAGTTTAATCTTAACTTCCAAGAACACACAAAGCAGGCTTAGTAAGCAATAAATAAATGTCTTGAATTAAATAAATGCTATATACTCTTTGCAGTGTTACTGTTTTTCATTAAATTGCCTCCTTGGCTGTAATTTTAGGTTCTCTGCAGTATTTGTGTATTTATTTATTTAGCATTCGGTTTGCATTTACTGGACTCTTCAAATCAATTTATCTTTGTCAATGCATCTTTTTTTAAGGTCCCTAGAGAGAACCGTCTTGACCGAGTGGTTGGCACGGTGACACGCTTCCATGACAGCTGGGTTGCAGCTCACAATCACTGGGCAGCAAGCACTAGGTACCCTGCCTGTGGACCAGAGCCTCCCATGAGAACCGGTACCACTAAAACTCATCCGATGCAATTTGCCCCCAAGAAGTAGACTGGGGAAAACCAGCTATTTTGCTTTTGGTAAGTCTTGCTCCTGGAATGCTTCCATGAGAGATGAGAAGGGAATGACACTGGGATAAACACAGTGGCTCATTAGGTTGTGTTGGAAAAATATATCTGTCGTGTCACTTCAATCGAATAACGGCAACTTTAGAGACTTTGACTTACTTGTATGACACTTTTCATGATATCGCGCCATGTTTTATCCACCGCAGTAAAGCGTCTGCCTTCCTCGGGCATTTGAGACATAATGTCTGGAGAGCTGAAAATGGGCTCCAAGTATAGCCAGGTGGCTTGGACCTTGAGCCATTCATCCAGAATCTCCTGAAGCAACAAGAGCTTGCCCTCCCATTCTCTGGAAAGCAAAAGACACTGGCTCTTAACAATAGAAAACCGAGCAGCATTTCAAATGGCAAAACTCAAACCGTGCTAGGCTATCAATCTTGTATATAGTTTGTTATTCCAATTGTCACTCATCTAGGGTCATCCAAAGATAAATCACTGGCTTTGTTCTACAAGTTCTTTTTCAAGACATCAATACATATGCTTATAGATACATTAGTTAAGATATAATTATCTACAAGTGGGCGGGTTTCTGTGTCTATCATTCAATAGACTGATTAGTTCCAATTCCATGCCAGAGGGTACAAACTGAGAAATTATATTTTAGGCAGTGTGGTCCTGTCGATGATGGGCACTCCAAACATCGTAGAGAAGGGCACTTTTGTGTGTAACTTGGGCACATAGAAGTTTTATTTCCAGGATAAAACACGTCACTTCTTAAGATGAAGCTCACTTTTCACGAAAAATCTACATACTCCTTAACAAATTAGTATGCTGCTTATAAAACTGGACTTTATCATTGGTTATCAGTATATTTTTTAATTTGGAGAATATAAAATTGGCTTTATTTCTTCCAAAACAGAGTTACGACAGAGCCTAAGACCTGTTGTCATTGTTGTTAGGTACCATCATGTTGGCTCTGGCCCATAGTGACTCTCTGCACAGAACGGACGCTGCCCAGTGCCAGGCCACCCACAACTGTTCCTGTGCCTGAGCCCACTGATGCAGCACCGTGTCAATCCAGCTCAGGGTGGGACTTCCTCTTTTTCCCTTGCCCTCGCACTTTACCAAACAGTCCTTCTCCGGGACTGTTCTCTTCGGACAATGTGTCCAAAGTATGTGGGACAAAGTCTTGCCATCCTAGCATCTAAGGAGCACTCTGGTCTTACTTCCTCCAACACCGATCCGTTTGTCCTTTGAGCACTCCATGGTATTTTCAAGTCTTCTCCAGCACCACAATTTAAACGCATTCCTTGTCCTACGGTCTTCCTTATCCAATGTCTACCTTCCACATGCAGATGATGCCATGGAGAATACCAGGGCTTCAGTCAAGCACGTTCTGGGCATCATTCTCTTCAATATTCTAAAGAGGTCTTGTACAGCAGATTTACCTAATGCAATACATATTTTGATTTCTTAACTACTGCTTCTGTAAGCATTGGTTGTGGGTCTAAGAAAGAAAAAAAATCCTTGACAACTTCAATCTTTTCTCCATTTATCATGATGTTACCTATTGGTATAGTTGTGAGGATTTGGGTCTATTTTACATTGAGTTGTAATCCATACTGAAGGTATAATCCTCAATCTTCAACAGTAAGTGCTTCGAGTCCTCCTCACTTTCAGCAAACAAGGTCGTGTCATCTGCATATCAAAGGCTGTTACTAAACCTTCCTCAGTCCTGATGCTACATCCTTCTTCATATAATCTAGCTTCTCTGATGATCTTCTGAGCATACAGATCAAATAAGTATGGTGAGAGGATACAATCCTGACACACACCTTTCCTGATTTTAAACTCTGTAGAATGTCCTTGTTGTGTTCACACAACTGCCTTTTACAAGTTCCTCGGGAGCACAATGGAGTGTTCTGAGATTCCCATTGTTCTCATGATTAGCCACAGTTTACTATGGTCCATAGTCAAATGCCTTTGCATAGTCAATGAAACGCAAGTACACATCTTTCTGGTATTCTCTGCTTTGAAGCAAGATTCATCTGACAGCAACAATGACATTCCTTGTTCCATGCCCTCTTCTGAATCTGGCCTGAACATCTGGCAGCTCCCTGTCAATGTACTAGTACAAACATTGTTGGATGATCTTAAACAAAATTTTACTTGTGTGCAATATAAATGATATCTTCCACAGTTTTTGAGTATTCTGTTGAATCACCTTTCTTTGGAATGGGCATAAATATGGATCTCTTCAATCAGTTGGCTAAACAGCTGTCTTCTAAATTTCCTTGCATAGAGGAGTGAGTGCTTCCAGTGCTTCTTCGGCTTGCTGAAACATTTCAATTTCTGGAGTTTTGTTTTGGGCTAATGCATTCATTGCCTTGAACTTTTTCCTTCAGCACCACTGGTTCTTGCTCACATGCTATCTCTTGAAATGGTGGACTGTCGACTAACTCTTTCTGGTACAATGACTCTGTATTCTCTCCATCTTCTCTCAGTGCTACAGTTCTAACACCTGTGCACATTTTTATTCCATGCTCACAAGGTGTCCTGAGGAATGGCTGAGTTGATTCCACCCTCATATCAAGCCCCAAACCCTCCTCAATCCCGTGTGTCTTCACAATCATTCCGATGCACGATCCTAGTGTTGCAGCTGCGGTCTCAGTCCTTCTCAGGAAGGGACTCCTCGTTTCCCAGACCTTCCATTTTATCGAGTATGATGTCCTTTCCCAGTGACCGGTCCCCCCTGATAACCTGTCCACAGGGCAGAGGAGCCTCGTCTCATCCTCTCACTTCTAAGTAACATGCTGGCTATGATCTTTCCAGACGAATGTGTCTGTTGTTCTTACATCCATGGTATATTCAATACTCTTCAGCAACATCGTAATTCAAGAGCCTTGGTGGCTCTTTCTCCAGCTAACAGATGCCTCATATGAGGCAAGAAAAGCCCTGTGTTTGCAGTCAGGCCTTTCTTAGTTCCCTAAGGGACCGCTTTGCTATGGGGCATGTCACAGATGTCTTTTGTAGCAAGGCAATACATCATGTCATTTCCTGGCTGCTACATCCACGGGTGCTGATCATTGACTCAAGTAAAAGGAAATCTTCACTCTTTTCTCCATTTATTTGATGTTGCTTACTGCTCCAGTGGTGAGATTTTGCTTTCTTGATGTTGAGGTATAATCCATCCTGAAGGCCCTGGCCCTTGATCCCATCGGTGAGTGCTTGGAATCCTCATCGCTTTCAGGAGGCATGCCAGGTTGCTAATGAGTCACCCTCCACTGTTGACGTCAGATTCTTCTTCACAGAGTCCAACTTCTTGGGTTAGTTGCTCAGTGGACAGATTGAGAAAGCTTGAGGGAGCTTCAAAAAAGTGGTGGCACAATTAAATGAAAAGAGAATGCAGTTTTCTCAAAATCTTTTTGAAGTGTTCCTTCATGGTGAAAAGGTACATACAGCCTTGATGTACACCTTTCCTGGTTCTACACCATGCATTATCTTGTTTTTTCAACTGACTTTTTCTTGGACTATGTGCGGAATCCACATGAAAACAATGAAATCTTTTGAAGTTTCTGTTCTTCACAAGGTTATCTATAATTTGTGATGAACGGCTATGAAGTAAGATCCATTACAACATCTTTCTAAGTCGGGAGAGGCTGAGACACATTGAGATAAGTAGCCGGCTCACAGTCACCCACGTAATAAATGATAGAGCCAGGATTTGAACCAGATTGCTAGAGTTTCAATTCTATGAGTGATAACCTAGCCATAAAAATGATTCATTGAGTGTAAGATATGACAAAATAATAATTTATAAATGATCAAGGGTTCATGAGGGAGGGGGGAGCAGGGAGGGATGGAAAAAAATGAGGAGCTGATGCCAGGGGCTTACATGGAGAGCAAATGTTTTGAGAATGATGAGGGTAACAAATGTACAAATGTGCTGGACACAATTGATGTATGGATGGATTGTGATAAGAGTTGTATGAGCCCCCAATAAAATGATTTTTTAAAAAAATGATTCATTAAATGGCAACAGAGCTTAGAGAAGGAATGGCTTCATGGCATATTAATGCATTACTAATTGTTTACAACTGGAAATCTATCATTTTAGATTACTAAAACAAAAAATGCAAATAGGATTTCCAAGATAGGATTTCCATAGGCGTTTTCAGATGCCTTTCTCAAAATACTTTCCCTTTTATGTTTATCAATGAATTTGCTCCGCTTCTTTGTAGACAAGATAACAATGCTCCAGTTTTCTTCTGATACTCATTAAAATCCCTGAGCGATGAGGATGGTTTCTCATCAGCTAACGAGATCAAATGAAGTCCTAAAAACTCGAATCCTGACTAACCAATTTCAGAGTAGTTACAAAATTTACTCTCTTGATGAGTAAGCTGAGCAGAAGCAAAACAACCAAATACAGAGACTGAACTAATTCCAATCAGAGCTCACGTAAACTGAAGGAAATGTGTCAATCACCAGAGGTAGATATTACCAAGCCGTCAGCTTTCCCTTTCTAGACAAAGTTCACAGAGAAAATGGTCACCTCTTTTGTGAAGTATAAGCTGATTAATACAAATCACAAAACTGAAATGAATGACACACAAGATAAGGCTTTAACAAGATCAGCTGTGTCAGAATTGCAGTTTCCCTCTTTGACAATTATCCCGCCATCCTTCATGCATATGAATGAGAAGCACAAAGGCCTTTCAGGGATACCTTCACTACAAACTAATTAGTATATTTGAAAAATAACATTATGATCTTCAGCTTTACCATTTATGCGCTCTGGTATTCAAAGACATCAAATGGCTGCTGAGAGTCGAGTATAAAAATCAGATTAGAGGTAATGAAAATGAAAATCTGAATGCTGATTGCCACTGCCTTTGTTATGAAAATAGAAGTCAACAAACCACTGTGTTAGGAAGGGGATTAGTGCCTATTCCACAAGCAATGAGTTTGCCATGCCTTACAATGAACTTCGAAAATATTAAGTTTTGCAGAATCCATGTTTTAAAAACTGTACATTAAATATAAGCATTCCTGGTCAAACAGTATAAAATATTGTCATAGAAAGGTTACTTTACCTCATTTGTGTTTCGTATGGTTTAATGAAAGGCGAGCCTCGCATAGTTTGGGTTTTAATTATGTGGTCATCCAACAACATCTGGATTTCATCAACAGATGATAGAATAAATGTCCCAGTTTCTCTATAAGAAAGAATGACGAACTCCATCGCATCCCACTCGCCAATCATCTTATCCATGGCCTTCTCAAGAGAATATTCTTTGCTAGCTGCTTCACTAATGCCTTCAAACTTATCTAGAAATGGCTCCAGATTCATTTCTAAAAATGAGAAGACAGTAGAGTCATCCGAAGGCTTCAGGGGGTAACCGACGACGTTGGACATGGCATCCCAGTGCCTGGCCCGCAAACCAGGATTACAGAGCACTTGAATGAGAGGAATGTGCTGCTTGAAATCTTCCACCTTTGTCCTTACTTTCTTGGTCATTGCCAAAGCATTTGGAGAGTCATGGAAGGTTTTCTCCAGCTTATACAGTCCTCTCCAGTAATTCCCAACATCGGCTTCGAGTTGGTCTGGATCCACCTTGTGATACGGCCCTTCTGTCCACCCTCTATATTTGGTGCTAAACTCAACAGCCGTCTCATAGAGGCGAAGATACGGGTTCAAACCATCCTGGATTTTTTTTCGTTGAGGATATGCTGATGGCTGCCAACCAAATGCTTCCTCTTCCGTATTAAACTGCTCAATCTAGAAGACAGGCATTACATCTATTAATTATCCTGAAATTATATTCAAAATTGAGTTTGGCTACCTGCTATTTCCAAACATTACCTAAAAGACTCCTAAGATCGTAAATGAAACCATGACCTTGGAACCATGAGCACTCCATATTTCTTCTTGATGACCATTTCCTAGGAACAAAAAGTTGTCTTTGCCACCCAGATATATTGAAAATCTATCTTTATTCATTAACAATGCACATTTAAGTACTTTGGATACAATAGCATTGTGTTGAAGACTTAGGAAAGAGGTGGGGGATGTTTTACATTATGAAATAGTTACCCCAAGGAGCTTAGGAGTAAAGACATCAATACCTGATGATGAAATAACAATTGTCCAATAATAGCATAAGGCAATAGACAATATGCCTTGAAGCAGTGTCTCCTGATTATAAAATTGGAGGGAAACTGCTTGCTGGGTCTTTCTGACTCAGGGTGCCCCCAGGGACCTCAGAGTCAAACTGTGCACCACAAAGTTTTCAATCGCTGATTGGCCTGAGCTAGATCCCTAAGTACTTCCTTCCCAGGTTGCTTCTGGGTGGACTTCCAAATTTGGGGTTAGTAGTTCATGTGCTCAAATGCTAACCCCAAATTTAGAAGTCCATTGACTACTGTGTTATCTAAGAACTCCATAAAACAAAATAAAAATAAACACACAAACCACCACCCACACCCCCCCAAAATGGTATCACTGAGAGCAGGGTGGTCCTACTGAACCAATACCGTCACAGATGCTGCAGGAGTGATACCGTCGGAGCTGAGTCTTGAGGGTAATGGGCAAAGCACGCGTTAACTGCCTCTTAGTTGTAGTGAACTATGTGAGAACGGAAATGACTCGAGGAAAGGTCTATATAGACTTGAAACGGATGCGCTACCTATGTGAATTATGCAAGTGACTAAAACTTTAGGAGATCTCCATTTAAAAAGACAAACAGGAATTTCTCTTTTCTGAGTGTGTGTGCTTATATATGGATGTTTAGTATAAGCTATTTAGTTACCTGAGCTTTTAAGATATGGAAATCTTCAAGGTAAGAAAAATGGCACAGCAGCATGATATTGGTACATTTTTATAAAAAATAACAGAAGAATCAAGGGGCTGAATAGTCATTAGCCATGCCCTGACTTCTTTTGATTCGAAAGTCATGCCAAAGCTGCACAGTATTTTCACGTTAATCAGATTTCAAAGATATGAGATCAACCATTTAGATAAGCAATAGGAAATGATACAGTGGGCGAAAGAATTAGCCTGCCGTTAATCGAAATACTAGGAATATAATTTAAGTTTTAAGTGCTGGAAATCCAAAATGTAACAGCCTCCCTTGTGGTACAAATTCCACGTAAGCTTAATCAGTGAGGATGGTCTTCTACCTCAGGAAGGTGGTAAGCAAGGCCATTAAGATAGGTAGCCAGGCCCTGAGCACTCCACATCAACTAGGCATACTGGTCACCACTGGGCTGTGATTCACAAGGTCAGCAGTTCAAAACCACCAGTGGCTCCTCGGGAGGAAGACAGGACTTCCTACTCCTGTTAACATTTAGCGTCTCAGAAGCTCAGGGGCAGTTCTATCCTGGATCACTGAGTCAGCATTGACTGGACGGCAATGAGTTTGGGGGATTTTTTTTGAGTCATCAGGGTTGTGGGTCTGGTAATCCCTGGAAAATTCTAAGTATGGACCACTGCAAAAGCTGTGTTTTCGTCACCGCACTTCAGGATATATAAACTGGCAGATTTTCACTGTCATGTTGAAGCGGTTTGGAGCTTTCAAGCTTCCTGCTTCCGTCTGTCTTGGGTTTGCAAAACTCAGAATTTTTCGAATTAAAATAAACATGATACACACAATTAAAGTGTTCCAGCATCTTATATGGAATGAAAATCTCACTGATTGCCACTGAGTCAACGCACAGCAATTCCAAGAGTGTAAATCTTTCCGGGAGCAGGCAGCCTCCTCTTCCTCCTGCGGCACGACTGACTATGGGTTGAATCCACTGACGGTTCAGTTAGAGGCTGAAAGCCTGACCCCAGTGGCAGCCCTTCCACTGTCTGCTAATGAGGAATCTGATTTCTGAAATAGTACTGGGGAAAAGTGGCTTCATGGGAAAAATACGGGTCTAACTGAAAAACACTAATGAAAGGGAGCTGATGAGCTGAGGGAGAGCATCATACATGAAGAAAGCAAAGGGTCATGTAAAAGACAGGAACGAGAGAAATCATCAAAGTGCACGTCAGAAGAGACTGACACTTGCTCTTAATTGTAGAGCAGCTGTGGCAAGTGGAAGAAATGGCGACAAAACAGAGCTGAACAGAAATTTTCAAAAATATTATAATGAAATGTGCAAAGACCTGCAATTAGAAAATCAAAAAGGAAGAATGCAGTCAATATATACTATATTTAAAGAACTAAAGGAAAAGTTCAAACATTCAGTTACAATACTGATTCTATTGGCAAAATATTGAATGATATTTCAATGCAGGAAAGACCAAAGAAAATGGGAAAAATACTGTCACTGTACCACAAAGAACTTGTCCACCCTCAACCACTTCAAGAGGTGGCCTATGATCAAGAGCCAATGATGCTGAAGGAAGAAGTCCAATCTGCACTGAAAGCATTAGCCTAAAACAAAGCCCCAGGAAATGATGGAGTGCCAATTGAAATGTTTCAACAAGCTGATGAAATGCTTGGGCTGCCAAGAAATTTGGAAGGCAGCTACTCGGCCAATTGACTGAAAGAGATTCACATTTGTATCCATTCTAAAGAGCGGTGACCCAACAGAATGCTCAAACTATAGAGCACTATCATTGTTATCACATGCAAGTGACATTTTGCTGGAGACCATCCAACGACAGTACATTGACAGGGAGGTGCCTGAGGTTTGGGCTGGATTCAGAGGAGTGTGACATGGACCAAGGGATATCATTGCTGATGCCAGATCGATCTTGGCTGAAAGCAGAGAACACCAGAGAGACGTTCACTTGTGTTTTATAGATTATGCAAAGACATATGACTGTGTGGATCATAGCAAACTACGGCGTGCCCTGAGATGAATGGGAATTCCAGAACACTTCATTGTGCTCATCTGGAACCTGTGCATAGATCAAGAGGCAGTTGTACAAACACAAAAAGGGAATACTGCATAGTTTAAGATCAGGACATTTTATCAGGGTTGTTTCCGCTCACCATGCTTATTCAATCTGTATGCTGAGCAAATAATTAAAGAAACGTGGAGAATATGAAGGAGGATGGGACGTCAGGATTGGAGGAAGGTTTACTAACAAGTGGTGGTTTGCAGTGACACAACCTGGCTTGCTGAAAAGGAGGAGGACTTGAAGCACTTGCTGATGAAGATCAAGGACTGCCAGCCTTCAGCATGACTGTAAAGAAGACTAAAATCCTCACAATTAGACCAATAGGTAACATCAGGATAAATGGAGAAAAGATCCGAGTTGTCAGAAGATCTCATCTTGACTCTCCAACCAATGCTCATGGAAGCAGCAATCAAGATATCAGCGGATGCTTTGCATTGAGTAAATGCCCTGCACAAAATCTCTTTAATGTGTTGAAGTTTAAGGCAGTTACTTTGAGGACTAAGGTGTGCCTGCCCTAAGCCTTGGTATTTTCAATCAATTCATAGACCTCTGAGAGGTGGACATTGAATAAGAAAGACTGAAGAAGAATCGGTGTATTTGAATTATGGTGCTGGTGAATAATAGAGAAAATATCATAGATTGCACACAAAAAAACCCACCAAAAACCCAACAAATCTGTCTTGGAAGAAGTACTTTGCTCCTTAGAGGCAAAGACGGTGAAACTGTGTCTCACGTACTTTGGACATGTTGTCAGGCGAGACCCGTCCCTGGAGAAGGACATCGTGCTCGGTTAAGGATGAGGAGCGGCAACAAAAGAGAAAGACCCCTGACAAGATGAAGGGGCACAGTGGCGGCCACAACGGGCTCAACACAAGAATAACGGGAGGATGTTGCAGGGCCAGGCGATGTTGGGTTCTGTTCCATGTAAGGTCGCTATGAGACAAATCAGCTTCCCAGCACCTAACAGCAACCATTTAAAAACCTAGCAGTTAAATCTAGGCTCCCTTAGGATGAAGAATCTACTTGGAAGTGGCCAGGGGCCATCACTCGCTCAGAGGACGTTGGGGACGTTGGTGGTGCGGGATTAGAGTGCTCGACGTCTGAGCTTGAGACCGGCCAGGGTTGACTCCCAGCCAGTGCTTCTCCTGTGCAGCCACCACCTCCCCAGGCTCTCCGGCTGCTGGATGCTGAGAGGTGTCCATGGGGTTTCCAGGCAGGGGCAGACTGGTAAGAAAGGCCTGAGCATCTACTTGGAATCCACCAAGACAAACCGCACAGCATGCGTCACAGTGGTCCCATCCGGCAGGGAGCACGTGGATGCTGCAGGCCAGGCAGCTCCTCATTCTGTGGTGCTTGCGACGGACACTCAGCAGCAGTGGCAGCACTGGTGCTTGCTTCTGCTGCAAAAACATGCATTCCCAACTCTCACAGTTCAACTATCGTGATGCAGCAGCGATGCGATATAACAAGTAAGAAGCTGCCCGGGCTGCTGTGTTGTGCACAATGAAACGCGGACACCGCTGAAGGCCTGTCACTGCCACGAGAAAAGCCCAAGTGCTCTCCCTGAGGCCTGCCTGTACAATCTCTTTGGATCATTTCTACTCTTCTGTGATTACATGAAATTAAGCTATATTCTGTTTGATCTGCTTGTTAAGAGTCTACCCCCTGGACAAAGGCCACCCTTTCCCCTTGCACTAATTCACCTCCTCACCTTGTCTGCGGCTGCATCCAGTTTCCCATTCAGGATCTGGGCCTTTTTCAGGTATCGCTGCACATCCTGGAGATCTCCAAATGTGTAAAATTCTTCCGCCTGCTTAGAATAGCTTTCCAATTCTTCCAAAAATCGTTCGCAGCGTAACTAATAAAACCAAATATTAGTTGTTACTCTTTTGAGAAGTTGGGACCCCGAACGTCAAAAGTGAAGTGAAATTATTTGTAAGAAGGATTGGAATTTGTGTTACATTCTGTCACTAGCAAAATGAGAAAGAGCTGATCCAAAATATGACTGAGAGCTACAAATGATGCGGGCATTTTGAGAGTCAAGATGAAAAATTAATGGAGAAGAACATCATGAATTAAATCACCTCTAATTCACAAATTAGGCCAGGATGATCCTCGAACCGTCCATATAAAGCGTTCTAATTCACAAAATGTGAAAGGATGTGCTAAAGTCTGGTATTCAAGCATTCATGGTAATAAATGTTTACAGGCATTTTTTAAAATCTCATAAGCATCAAGTATGGGGCTAAACTAAAGCACCAATTTGTTAAAGGACGGAGAGAGAGCCGTGACACTAGACAAACCATGGGTGGGGAAACTCCATTGCTGTCATTGGGTTCTGGTACTTGCTCTCTTTAATTATCCATCCCAATACCAAGCATTCGAGGTTAGTTTTTCCTGTTCCATGGGCTCTTTTTACAAGACATGCGTCCAGTAAACACATTCTGATTGAAAGTCTAAAATCCATAGGTTTGTGTTCTTTTTTAATGTAAAACAAGTGTATACTTCTCCTAACAAGAAAGACTTTCTACACGTTTTTATTGGTAAGGCATCCCAAATTAAATAACTCTAAAACAACCGTTCTTAATAAAATATTCAAAAGTCAAATCTAGGTTATTCAAAAATAGATTTCCTACTTTACAGATTATCTGGGTTGAATTCTGTCCTCTTTTCTCCAGTTCCCTGGCAAATATATGATACTGTCCCCGGTGGGAGAAGGGAAATGAAAAGAAAAAAATCATCAACATATGTGTAGTTGATGGAATAGCATATTGTGGAACAAAGTATAGACAATTCTAGATTTGTTAGCAACTTTCTAAGGGTCAATTTTATTGTAACTTCTACATCTAATGGGTACTGACTTAACATATGTGGCCAATATTTACACATTTCCAAGGTTTGCCTAAATTTTGAAATGGCCTAAATGTAAAATAGAAATATAGACTATACTTTTGGATGAATATATATAATATATATAATTCATATATAATATATATGAATATATATTATATAATAAGTATATATATTATATAATAAGTATATATATATATTATATAATAAGTATATATATATACTTAAATCGATGAATTATTCTCTCTCCCCTAAATGTATTCGGTCGGTTAGTTATAGTTGCTGTATGTAACGCAGTGAAGTGAGATGTCTGTACTAACTGAATTGGAACAAGTCTCCCAACTTCTGAGAACCTTAGTTTCTTCCTCCATAAACTGAAACCAAACACCAAAATCACTTATTCACACAATAGCTATGGTGTGCTCATGATACCCCTGTATTCCAGCCCCATGCTAGTCAGTGGGGATGGTGGAGGGGTGGACAATCAAAACTGTCCTGCTCCCACAGTCCTAGCTGTTTAATTTTAAGAGAAACATAAGAATGAAAATAAAACGAAAGGGTAAGTGGTCCCCCAAAGATGTTTTAAAAGCGCAACACAAATGGAGGGGAAGCAGTCCTGAGGACTGGCTGAGCGGGGTCTGTTAGGTGTGTGCGCGCAGGGGTGGGTCCCACGGGAATGGAGGGGCTGTGCGAGAGAAGAGAGGGAAACACGGCACATTCAGGGACCTGGAAGTCACTCAAGGTCACTGAAAAGTCGACAGGCGGAAATAGATGAGGGCGGAAGGATCGAATGAGACAAATATCACACAGTGACTTGTGTGTAAAACCCAAAAAAGGTTTGGGAAGCCCGGAGTCAGTGAATGTAAAGAGTACTGCCTCTGACGCACACCGTGCTCAGGAGAGTTTGCTGGGTCACGGGTGTGACGTCACAGATGACGTGAAATGCGCTAAGTAAATGGACTCACTCAAATGAGTGTGATGAGCTGAGTGACACAAATACTATTTTCTATTAATGGCCACTTGTGGGCAATGATTCCAGTGTTTTTTCTCTGTAAAAAAATTTTTAGAATTTGGACTTTTCTGGAAAAAACCATTGACCTCATAGCAATCAATATCCTGCTTGTTCACTCCTTAGTCATTCATATAAGCGTTATAAAAGCTCTAGTAAGTGCATTTCCTTCTGAATATATCTGTAGTATGGGAAAGCTGACCTATGTAGGCACCAAAATAAAGAAGTTGACAATGCTATTTACAAATTTAAACATTTCCACAACTAAAAATAATTAAAAGCATCTGACACCAACCTTGGACATGGGGGCATAGTGAGTGGCTGCGAGGTCAGAAGTTGGGAACTCCCAGGCACACCCCAGGACAAAGAGGCCGGCTTCCCGCGCCCGTCCACGTTGCCGGGGTGGTTCTACTCCGACCCATGGGGCCAAGGGGAGCCGGAAGCGACTCAGGGGCAGTGAATTGAGAGTTTCACGATACCAACCTTAAGACCTTCTTGATATTGTTCTGTTTTCTCTTTAACGATTTTCCTGTGTTCTTCAAAAATCTCCCCCATTCTTCCATACCACTGGAAAACATTATTATTCAGCCTGATGTCCGCTGGAGAAAAGTTAGCACACTCAATCAGGAAAGCAAGGCAGTTTTTGGAATCCACTAATCTCTGTCCCAGTTCAATCATGTCCGTGGATTCCACTTTCTGAATGTAAGCCTGAAGAAGAAAAAAAAGTTTTTTTTTCATAGTTATTCCCTAATGAATAGTTCATGTCAAAACAAAAACCCAAAACGTTTGCTGTCAGGTGCTGCAAGTTAGTTCGAACTCTTCACCACTGTGTGCAACACACCAAATGTCGTCTAGTCCTGTACCACCCTCACCGTTGTTGTGATGTTTAAGCTGAGGTGGCATTCATTGTGCCAACCCATCTGATTGAGAGCCATCACCTTTTTTGGTGAACTCTTTTTTGGCTAAGCCACCGTGAATCAATATGTACCGATTCGCTAGAAGTGCTGATTGACTCCTCGTTCAGAAGAGGGAACTACTTCCAGTCACCTCTAAAGACCAATTTACTTCTCAATCCTCCCATTGCCTCTTAAGTGACAGATTAAAAAGAACAATAAACATAAAATCACTGGAAAATCAGAAAAGAAGACTATGGGATCCTGGAAGAGATAAAGCAGACGCTATATGGGAGATATCAGTAGTTATTCCCTAATAATGTTATTGGGCCCTTATGTTACCAGACACCATGCAAGCTGCCAGCAAGTCACTGTAACCCAAAACCAGCCGTGACCTTTACCTTTATGAAGCTTGCTGTCTAGTGAGGGAGACAGACAGATTCAAAGAACCATTATACCAAATGTCAACTTGTCGACTTGCAACTGAGAGAAGCGCTACCCAGGTGCATTCGTTAGGTAGAACATGCCTCCAGTAGGGATCGGGGTTGTTCTGGGTCGAGGGTAGTTCCCACTAGTGGAGAACGGAGCAGGGGGAGCAGTGACTGAGGGAACAGGTAAGGGGGAGAGGATCTCCAGCAGAAAGGACCCAGCGGGAGAGCAGGGGGGCACCTGTGGTGCTGGCAGGGGCGGAGGAGCAGTTTCAAGTCAATTGAAGCCAGACCCAAGTCTTGTGGGGCTCAGCCAATATGACACACTTGCACGGATACTTCATGTCCTCTGAAAATATCATTTGATGCAAAAAGTTAAAAAAAAAACAGACCCAACTGACCAAGTTGGAGAGATTTCAAAGCACAAGAAAGTACAAAATAAAGAGCTACAAAATCCGTATTTTCCTAGCTATATCATCAGTGACCAGTTTTAGAAACAATCATGGAAGAGAGAGCTCATTCTTAACAGGTGCAAAAAATTGTAAATAATTCTGGGCAAATCTAATGAGACATTCTAAATCGATGCAAGTAAAATGATAAAACTTATGTTTCGGGATGTTAAGGTATAATATTAAAAAGGTATTACTATCCTCAAATATTTTAAAATCAAATTATTTATAGAAATCTATGCAATTTTAATAACTATTGCAATGACAGTTTTTAAGCAGAATTTTATATAACTCTGGAATTATTTTAAATAATAAATACCTAAGAATATCAAAGATAAATGATTACAAATATCAAAATACACTACATAGGTTCAGTCATTTAAATAGTTGCTGGTCTGATCCAGGAATAGAAGTGGGAGTGAAATGGAGAGAGTTCAAAAATAGATCTGTGCACATATGGAAATATAATTTGTAGCAGATAATGTACATATTTATGGAGCATAGTACAAGTCAGGGGTGAAATAGTGAACTATTTAGTAAATTAGGTTGGGGAACAAGATATCAATTTTGTATTAAAGAGCCTTCCTTACCTCGTGGGAGGAATACAGAGAAGACATATAAAATGGATAATATAATTAGTAGCAAAGTATGTACGATACTCATTCTATTGTTTGCAAAAGCGTATCTCTGAGTACGTGAGTGGGTCCTGGGGGGTGCCTCGATGGGGGTAAGTGAAAAGCACTGCTATTAGGGTTCCAGTTCGTACCTCTCAGACTCACTGTCCCAGAGTCTATTGAACGCATAGCGAGCGATAGGACGGGGTAGAACTGCTCCTCTGTGTGTGCGAGTCTGTCCCTCTTTACAAGCGTAGAAAGGCTCATCTTGTTCATGGAGAGCAGCTGGTAGTTTCGAACTGCTGACCTTGGGGTTAGGGGCCAACACACAACCCACTATACCAGCCAGGCTCCTTACGCTTGATTCTAAACCAAATGTGCCTAAATGCAGCTCTGTGCTGAGTGGATGGCTACAGATAAATTCTCTTAGTAACACACTTGCCTTAGTCTCATCATGGTACCCACACACCTAAATTTGCCAGGGATCGCACTGGTTTATGCCAGTTGGTATGCTAATAACAGGGTTCTAGTAGATGATTGCATCGTGGTTCCAACACTTCACCCCTCCCAGTGTCCATGCCCATTAGTGTCCTCTCATTCTGCCTCTGCCTATGACTTGCTTTGGCCATGTGAATGGGAGCTAAGGTGACACCCACAGGGGCTTGAAAAGCACTGGTACAATAGGCCTTGGCTGCCTTACTCCCCTCGACTGGGCCATGCGAACAGACCCAGATTAACCTACTCCAGTTTGGGAGACAGTGGAGCAAAGTAAAATTACCCTAGTCAACCCAACCGACACCCAGGTGGCCCAGTAACCAGAACTGCCTCGGAGGGCCAAGCCCAAGTCTGCAAACAACAGACCCATGAGTGAAGTATAAATACATTCTCTTCTTGTTAAGCTTCTGATTTTAGCCTTTGGCGTGCTGAGCACCATTGAGGTACTAAGTCAGGGGTGTGCACACACCGAGAAGGGTTTGTAAGCAGTACCTTCATTTCCATCAGCTCGGCTGTATTCGGAGGAGTACTAAGAGCTTTCTCAGCGATCTTCTCGAATTCGTCACATAATCTGAAACACCAGATAAATCAACCTTATGTTTAGAAGCTTCTTTCTAAATAGATGTTACAGGTCATGAAAAAATGCAATGCTATGATTACTCAATGACCGAGCTGATCGTCAAGCCACCATGGACTCAGAAAGCCCCGAGAGAGCAGAGTCCAATGGTCCCATGCGGTTTCCAAGGCAGTAGCTCTTTGCAGGAGGGGCACAGTCTCTTTCTCCCACGGAGCCACTGGAAATGGGAGACGGGATGGTAAACAATCATTGCCAACCCAGATCCAGCCTGAAGGCCTTAGCAGAGGTTCAGCTGAGCAAACAGAAGGCAGTGGCACAGAGGAGGAGGAGGACAACTCTACTTGGATCTGGGTTGGCAAAAAAGAGCGGTGGGAGTTGCAGAAATCAGCCTAAAAGGTATAGACAATTCTTCCGTGAGACTGGCTGTAAGGAACGGGAAGAGGACATCGCTTGGTGACGATACTGGTTTGAAGTGTGGAGTTGGGAGAAGGCAGCTGGTATGGAGCATGGTTGTCAGCTTCCAAGGCAGAGGCAGCAGCAAAGAAGAGGATTCAAGCAAGAGGTCCAGAGGGGAGGACTGAGGGAGCCAGGTCTTGAGGGATGGCCCGCAATAGGACCAAAAGGCTGGCAGTTCCAGCCCACCCGGGGCTCCACGGGAGGAAGACTGGTCATCTGGTTCCGCCTTGGGAACGCGATGGTCGGCAGTCCTTGGAACTGACTCGGTGGGTAAGCATAAAAGACACACGGAATATTTCACTATTCCTCCCATCCTTTCAGTGGAAAAGATGCTTACAGCTAATCCCATCATTCTAGATCCCACATTAAACTACCTTGTCCTCCTTCAACTCACCTGTGGCCTCTCCTCCTTCACAGCGTCTGCGGCAGCAGCACAAACCATTCCTAGCTCGTGGAATATGGCAGACCTTTCGATCCCTCGCTGCCTTTTAAATGTCCTTTTCTCCACCTGGAATTCCCGCACCCCTCTGCTCCCCCGGCAAGCTCCTGCTCATCCTTCCAAGTGGAATCCACCCACCAATTCCTCCCTGCAGCCTTCCTTGATGGCCCGCCTCCCCTAAACTCTACTCTGAGCGAGACTGAATCCTTCTTCCTGTTCTCTGTCCTATCCCAGTGGCTCCTGCTACTTTTTAGTACAGTACCTACTGCATCATGCTGCAATTTGCTGACCTGCATATCAATTTTATATTCTACATTGCAACTTTTCTGAGCAGTTTTATTCATATTTGGAGCTCAAGTGCCTAGTCTTATACCTAATGTGTGGGAGGCTAAATAAAGCCTCTTTCAGGCTTCTGTGTTTCCTGAGAGGATGCTATCTGATGATCGATTATTTTACCTTGATACCAGGACCATCACAATACATTCTGATTATCTGGGTCTCCCCCCAACCCCATGGCACTGATACCAGGAGAGGTTCCTGGAGCCATGTCGATACCAGTTCTCAGACAACTAACTACATTTCTTGTCTTAAATAAACACAATCTGTTTTATACTGAAATTGGTATATTAGTATTTAGTGAGTTTACTTATTGTGAGTCAATATCCCTAAAAATTGAAATGGCAGTCGACAAGTATTATCAATTCATTTGGTTAACAAGTTACTGTTTCCTTGAACAGTGAGTATGGTAAGACGCAGCTCCGAATTTGTGGGTTGGTCCGTAAGACTCCGAAAGCCCACTTGGTACTGATTGTCTTAGATTAGATGATAGCCACTTGACTTTACAGAAGAAATGGAAACACATGTCAATACTATTATGAGCCAGACAACTGAAAAGGCACATTTGTGGTGGAAATAAAATCATGCTAATAACTTCACAATAACACTGTGACAAAAAAAAAGCCAAATGGCAATAAGAATTAGCATTGCTTTTTTCTTAATCATTTGGGGTATCACTGTAATCCATCCCCTTTGCTGAGGAACAATGATTCTGTTTAGCTTTCATCACTATGATATAAATTTAATTATTAGTACCTAATAATTAGACAAAAAGATAATGAAGGTTGTACAAATACCTTGTGTTTACTTCCTGATGATCTTTGAACATTTTGGCGATAAGTTTCCCACAAATACTATCTGCTCGCTTCACCAAAGCTCTGATTAACTCCTCACAGTGGATCTCAAACATTCCTAAGCGGATGGTCTGGAACATAAGCACTGAAGGGTAATTTTTTTTTAAATCATGGAAAGAAAGAAAAATGAATACAAGACTCCCCCAGTTTTGCTTCTCATGGTGTTTGTTGACTTTTTCTGTGATCTAGGAAGATGGCATTTCGTTTTAAAATATTGCGCAGGGAGGATTTTCTGACTATGCCTTGATATTGTGCACCTGTCTTCTACAAAAGCTTCCCTGAAGGGTTTGTCCCTCAGGCGTCCATTCTCTTCCAAGAGCATGATGGACAGGAAGAGTCGGGAGCACTTAGATATGTCTGAAAAGATAGCGTGGGGTTCAAGTGTTCCAGTCTGTGTAAAAAAAAAAGTAATCCACATTCTTGACCCAAAAATGATTACAAAAGGTGAAAAAGAAGAAGAGTTGTACAAGTTGGATTACTGGTAATCCTCCTGAACAAAAGTACCCACATTTGGACGCAAGGGGTCTACTTTCAAAAGGATCAACAAACACTGATGTAAAAAACACCAACATTATATTCTTGGGAGTCATCCTTGGCAGATTACATAAAGTACTTAAAAGTTGGCATTACGGCACAAGAGTATCTGCTTCCTAAGGATAAGGAATGTGTCTGTTTTGTCCACCTCCTTAGCCCCAGGTTTTTGACAATATGGCCCAAACTGTGAAAGCTGGAACCCACCTGAGGCAGAAACCTGTGTGAGAAGGAAAATGCCAGTGCTTTCTGTAATAGGGTGAGAGAAATGTGGAGGGCTGGAGCCCTCAGAGGCCTGGGAAAACAAGGCAGTCCCACTGAGTTCACTGCACTTCTCCCACCAGCTGACGTTCATGGTACCGTGGTGGCTTGCAGATGACGATGCCACTGGAAGCTATGCCAGTGGTGTTTCGAGCACAAGGAGGGGCACACACCTGTTGGACATGATTCCACAGAGCTTCCAGACTAAAGCAGAATCGGGCGGGGCTGGGGTGAGAAAGGCCTGGTCGGTCTACTTCCAAAATTTAGCCAATGAAAACCTCATGGCACCAACAGACCGATGCCCAACTAACTCGTGTGCTTTGGACATGCCATCAGGAGGGAACAGCTGCTGGGGGAGAACATCGTGGTCGATGAAGGGGCGGGCCAGTAAGAGGGATGGAGGCCCTAGGGGCGATGGAGTGGCACGGTAACCGCTACCATGGACTTGACTGTGCCAGCGGCCAGAAAGAGGGTGCCAGACCAGCCAGCATGGTGTGCTGTGTCAACTTGATGGCTGTCGGTTCTCAATCCAGCACACGGTGTGGCACAGACCAGTCTCCATGAAGACTTTTCTCATGGATACCAATGGCCTGCTGCTTTTGATTGTACGTTCTAAAATCCACATGCTAAGAACACTGGGAAGAGATCGTTCTACATAATAGTTGTACAGGACAGGGCCCATTCACCTTTCTAGATGTATACTGTATTTCCTCCATCAGCTTTTGGTACTTGCGGATTTCGCCGATTATTTTCTCATAGCTGTGATTTTCTGCAAGGAAAGCATCGACATCTTGCTCAGCTTTCCTGGTGACCAAATGCTCATACTTGTCATACAGCCTGAGGTGCTCCATAGGGGCCACACTTTCTTGCTCAATCACTTTCTTAATCTTTTCTTTGTGTGCGTCTATAATTTCATTCAGAATGATCGGCTTCAAGGTGGTGCGCTTGGATTTACTTTCCTACACGGAGAGAGGAACAACGATTCGTTACTTAGGCTTTTTGTATTTCTAATCTCAAATCTTTAGAAAAACCGCTTTCGATAAATAGCAGTTCCGCTTCGGTCTAATTATATCCATTTGGGGAATAGCTAGGTTTCCTACACTTTCCCTCTTTTTCTTCAAGGCTACCTTGTTTGATGTTGCTTGTTCTTGACCAAATTTTCTTCATGGATGAAAGAGTAGTTACTGAAACATATACACAGAATAAGACTTAGAATGCAAAACGAGCAAAACTCACATTTTATTTGGCCAACAGTACATGCTAGTTTTATGAGGTAGTGCTTACATTGTACGTTATTGACAAACAAATGCAGGAACAATCCCCATGTCTGATCATCATATTCTTTGATCGTTATCCTATTTTACCTCGAGCAGTAATCTATCTGGAACAAAGACTGTTTATTCAGTCATTGACCTTCGCTTTTTTAATCTGTGAACTGGAGCCCACTAACATCACTTCTTGTACAATTCACATTCTGCTCTCACAATGGGGAATCCCTGGTGGCACAGTGGTTAGGTGCTCAGCTGGGAATAAAAAGGTCCATGGTTCGAACCCACGAGCTCTGTGGGAAATGATGTGCCAGTCTGCTGCTGTAGGGAGTTCGTCGTGGAAACCCCTTGGGGATGTTCTACTTTGTCCTTTGTGGTCTGACTACGAGTTGGAATAGACCCATGTCAACGGGTTGGGTTTTTTATGTGGGGGTGGGAGTGGTGGGGAGTTAGTGATCCCTATGATGGCAAGAATAAAGCAGACAATGATATTAACTAAGCACACAAAATCTATCGGTTTATCTCCTCAGTTTAGATAAGGGAAACGGAAAGTCAATGGTGCAAACAGTTAATGCACTGGGCTGCTCACCCCAAGGTTGAACGCTCACAGGTACCCAGTGCACCTCAAAAGAGGGGAAAAAAGACGACGACGACTCACTTCCTTCAAGTTGATGCCAATTTATGTTGACCTTATAGGGCAGGATAGAACTGCCCCTGTGAATTCCTGAGACTGCAACTATTTACAGGAGTAGAGAGCCCCATCTCTCTCACAGAGTGGATGATGGTTTTGAACTGCTGACCTTGCAGTGAACAGCCCAAATGCTTAACCACTGCACTCCTAGGCCTCTGGGTACCAAAAACCTGCCTCTGAAAACGCTAAAGAGCACAGTTGTCCTCTGATACAGAAGTTGTCCTTGTGAGTAGGAACCAGCCCAACCACAAGGCCTGTCTGGTTTATCACCTTGAACTAAGTTACTCTTGCAACTATGAGGGGGCTTCGAAAAGTTCCTGGGGAAAAAATCCATTTTCTTTTCATTCTGTTTTTTTCCATGAACTTGGGATTCAAAATCAATCCAACGGCAATGGGTTTGCTTTTGGCTTGAGTTTTAAGCACCCTTAATTCTTTTTTTTTATTTTTAAACATTTTATTAGGGGCTCATACAACTGTTATCGCAATCCATACACACATCAATTGTGTAAAGCGCATTTGTACATCATTCTCAAAACATTTTCTCTCCACTTAAACCCCCGGCATTAGGTCCTCATTTTTCCTCTCCCCGCTCCCCCCTCCCTCATGAGCCCTTGATAGTTTATAAATTGGTATTTTGTCATATCTTGCCCTGTCTGACGTCTCCCTTCACCCACTTTTCTGTTGTCCGTCCCCCAGGGAGGAGGTCACATATAGTTCCTTGTAATCGGTTCCCTCTTTCCTACCCACTCTCCCTCTACCCTCCCTGTTTCGCCACCCACACCACTGGTCCTGTAGGGCTCATCCGCCCTGGATTCCCTGTATTTTCTTAAATCCATTGCCATCGACGTGTAGTGACCCTGAAGTCAGAACAGAACTGCCCCCGAGGGTTTCTGAGACTGTAGATCTTTGCCGGAATTGAAAGCTTCCTCTTTATAACGCAGAAGGGCTGTTGTGGTTTCAAAGCGCCGCCCAGAGGATCCCCTCCGGGAATCGAATTGACCTGATAGCAGTGAGTTTGGATGTTTGGTTTGGGGATAGATTGTCTAACTGTCACCCAGAACAAGAGATTTTAATTGTGACTAACAAGAAACGTGTCTTTAATGGGTACTCTTCTGTATTCAAATTCATCAAATAGGTCTTTAGAAACTGGGAATTTGGTCAGTTATCTAGTATGAGTTGGCCCACGGTGCCCTCTAGTGGCTGTTTTATGAAATAAGCTGAGAACTGATGCTTCGTGAGCACTTTAGTGGCTCTCCAACACCTTCATCAATACCCTGGAGCCTCTCAGCAAAACCGATGCTTGATATCATCTTTTCTGAAAGAGAAGTCAGGATAAAGCACTCGATATTGTGCACTCTATGTACTGTGAAATTACTGGATTGCATATGCGGCTCGTTAATACTCATTTCGGATGTTTCTTGGATTTGTTAACTGCCTGCCTAATCTATCTCCATAAGCAAAAGAGAATACTGAACTTTAGGCCTATGTTAGAACTTCAGGCCTATCCTTTTGATGTGGGTTCTAATCAGATCCTATCAAGAGCCAAGAGAAATGATCATTCCTGTGAGTGATCTGTCCATTCAATCCTTCCGAGTTCTAAAGTCTATCAACTGACATCATCAGACAGCCTCTCAGCCCCTGGAAGATTTGCCTTCCATTTTCAGGAAGTGCATTTCTAATTTCATTTTCACTCTCTTGAAGATTGATATGAAACAGCTATGGGAATTTCACTCCTGCAAGTGCTCAAAGATTGCAGAGACCAATTACAATGATCCTAAGCATTGGTCTCCAAACCGGACTCATTGCCAGGATCAGCTAGGGAAACCCTGCTGGTTCTTATTTCCGAGTAGCAGCTCTGTAAATAGGTGTGTCTCATGGGGAGGTGTGGTGGAGAGAGGAGGGCATGTGGAAATGGTGGTGGCAGGGATCCCTGACGTTTTCATTTTTAATATGTCACCAGCCATGCTGATAAGGCTTTGGAACGATTCCCTCTAAGTCAGACCTATCTCTCCTCTCCTCTCCTCTCTTCTCTTCTCTTCTCTTCTCTCTCTCTCTCTCTCTCAAAATTTGATGCCAGAAAAGATATTTTTCTGTCCTGGAACTGTGTGAAGTAACTTCTTCTTTCTTTATTAGGGACAATTTGGTATATCTTGCCACAGTTTTCTCTTTAGTTTAACAACCAGGGAGTTTAGAACCATGTTTACAGACCATGAAAGTCACAGCTGCTTGGATTTAAATTTTGTCTCAACCAGGGCTTCAAACTGGCCCATTCCACTTTGAATCCCTACTGAGAATTCGACTCTGTACCCCAGATATAAAGAATTAGAATCTACATGCTAGCAGGTTCTGTAAGAATGACCCAGGGATGTCATTAAAAATGTAGATTCCGATTCAGAATATCTGGGGTGGAACTTCTCAGCAGGGGTTGTAAAGGGAATGATCCAATTTGAAGCCTTGCTCTTAATTCTTATTTTATTAAACTATTATATTTGTCTATTTCACAAACTATCTCAGATCAGTCTTAGGAACAGGCAGAGTCTATGTAGAATAGAATGCAACCAAAGTATTGGAAGTGACCAGAGAACAAGATATAGTAAGTTTCTTGATACTTCCATTTATGATATCTGTAAGTACACACACACACACACACTTGGTCTTGTTTCTCAGTGGAAACAAGGATCGACCCTGACTCCTGGCGACCCTATAGGACAGAGTAGAACTGGCCCTATAGGTTTCCCAGACTGCAACTCTTTATGAGAATAGAAAGCTTTGTCTTTCTCCCATGGAGCGAGTGGTTGGTGGCTTTGAACCGTTGACCCTGCAATCTGCAGCTCAGTAGAAAAGGTGGGGTGGGGGAGAGGATCTTTTCCTTAAAAATTCATAACAACATGCCTGTTCTTATCCAGGTCTGATCCAATATCCATACTACCAGTGTTGTCCACCCACCCAACCCTTTGACAATAATCTAGTTAAAAATGGTCTGCAAGGGTCTCCTGAGCACCTGGCACGAGAATAGACAAATCGCAGAGGAGCCCACGGCTTCCCTTCTTTAAAGCCCCTTCCTGAGAAGCCCTGAGTAAGAAAGTAAAGACATCCGGAGAAGCAAACCACCATGAACAGACGTCAGCAAACTGTAAGAGGGGTTTCAAAACGCTCATAGGAAAGTCAATGGAAAAGACAAGCTTTTTGGAACACCCCTTCCCTCAGCCACCACCACCCAATTGTATAACCCTCAGGAGAAAGATGAAGCTGCCTATTTCCGTAAAAACGTATAGTCTCAGCCATCCTATATAGGCTCTCAGCGAGTCAGAAGTGACTGATGGCAGTGTGTGGTTTTTGATTTCTTCCATAGTCAGCATGTGGAGGTCAGCTGGCAGATACTGCATATTGGACAAAGGCTAAAAATACTTAATATTTATACAAAGAACTAAAAATGTAATGCTTATATAACTAAGTACAAGAGACAACCAAAAGCAAGCAGAAATATGTTTTAAAGAGACTAATGGTTACAAGTCTGGCTAGACCAGAGGATGTACATTGGTACAGATAGGAACCGGAAACACAGGGAATCCAGTGGTGTGAGTGGCGATACCGGGAGGGTGGAGGGAGTGTGGGTTGGAAAGGGGGAACCATTTTCAAGGATCTACATATAACCTCCTCGCTGGGGGACGGACAACAGAAAAGTGGGTGAAGGGAGACATCGGACAGTGCAAGATATGACAAAATGATAATTTATAAATTATCAAGGGTTCATGAGGAAGTGGGGAGCAGGAAGGGAGGGGGGAAAATGAGACGCTGATGCCAGGTGCTTACATGGAGAGCAAATGTTTTGAGACTGATGAGGGCAATGAATGTACAAATGTGCTTTATATAGTTGATGTATGTATGGATTATGATAAGAGTTGTATAAGCCCCCAATAAAGTGACTTTTTAAAAGGGGGAAAAAGACCCTAATGGAATTTATTTAAAATGAAAATATTTTTAATTAGAAAAATATATTTTAATTTTAAAGATTCTTTAAAAATTGGAAAACCAATGGAAAGAACAATTGAGGTGATTAGCCTCAAAGTGAACATTTCAATATTAAGTGAAAAAAAGCAAGCCACATGTAAAAGGTTACATGTAAGTTAACCCCATTTATACAAAGATATGAAAACACAAAATAAATGTTTATGGATTTATAGGTAATTTTATTTCTTCGAAATCAAGAATGATACAATATTCAGGACAGTGACTCTCATGCCAGAGGGCTGGATAAGAAGAAGAGGGATATAAACAGAGAGGGACAGAGAGGACTTAAGAGGGATCCATAATATTCCATTCCTTATATCGGGTTATAGGTACATTAATCTTACTACTATTCCTTAAACTTCACATACTAATTGCCTCTGCTATTTGTATGTGTATAATATTCCTGACATGTTTCTAAAAGAGAAAAGGAAGGCAAGACCTAAAAGTACTATCATTTAAAGAACTTCAGACCTGCTTTTATCCAATATTAGACTACAGCTCCTACTGCTACAATGTCACAAGTCTTAAAACATCCACTGCTGCCAAGTTGATTCAGACTCATAGCAACCCTTTAGGCTAGAGCAAAACTACCCCTTTGGGTTTCTGAGGTTGCAAATCTTTACCAGAGCAGAAAGCCTCATCTTTCTCCTATAGAGATGCTGGTGTATTTGAACTGCCAACCTTCCAGTTAGCAGCCAACACATAACCCACTATAGTACCAGAGTTTCTTTAGTTCAGGATGTTGTTGCTAGGAGTCCTGGAGCTGATTCAGACGTATACCGGCTCGAGGCACAACAGAATGAAATATTGACCAGTCCTACACCCAGTCCACAATCATTGCTATATTTGAGCCCATGGTGCAGCCACTGTGTCAATCCATCTCCTTGGAGCCCTTGATGGATAGCTATGCTAAAATGCTTGGACAAAGAGAAAAGAAGGGATCATAGAATTTATGAGCTGAAATGATGGAGGCAGGCACTCAGTATTTTTTTAAAGCTGTATTTGGAGGATAATCAATTGCATAGCATCTTTACAGGATAAATCAAAACTCATGGCCTTTGAGCCAATGTCGACTCATAGTGACCCTATAGGATACAGTAGAACTGCCCCCACAAGTTTCGGAGATTGTTAAGCCATCTTTTTTCCCTTGGAGTAGCCAGTGGCTTCAAACTGCTGACTCTGGGAACCACACCCCGATGTGTAACCACTATTCCACCAGGCATCCTTTTACAGAATAGGAGCTACAGAAAATACTTATTAATTGCTTCAAACCCAATCAAATTTTAAGCCATTCTCAGAAAGATTTCAACTGAGTCCTATAGAAAAGCAGGTTGACAAATTAAGTATATTTTAAGAGAAGCAAATGGGAAATAGAAGATAAAACACTTCTTTATACACCAAGGTGACTAGGCCATTTACATTCTTCAGAACAAAGCATTTATGTCTATACCTCCCAAAAGTTATTTGAAGTGGGTAACAGGTAAAGTCAAGCAATCAGAAGATGTTCGTAGCTTACCCACTTGGAATACAGTTTTGTCTCAACTCTTGGCACGAAGCTGACAGCCTTAAGCATAACATCATAAACATTTAGGAGGATGTCTCTATAGTCATTAAACTCAGGTTCAAATTTAATGGTGTCATTATCAAGGATCAGCCTCATGATGAAACCTGGATGTTCAAAGGCTCTGACCGAATCCTAGAAAATCAAACAAACAAGTAAATAAGAACTGTGACAGACGAAGGAGGCCACCTGTCCCCGTGTTGGTCCTTCCTTTCATGTCCTTGACAGGTACGCCAAGGGAGGAGCAAACAGTGGGTTTCTGCTTATATGGCCTTTCTGACCCTGGGCGTGTGGTTCAAGTGAGATGATTTACTAGGCTGCAGTCTTGCAAAGGGATTGGTTCGTCTACTATGCAAACAGGGGATGTAAAACCCTCACAGGGATTGATGGACTATGATGCAAATCAGGAGGTGGGGCCCTCCAAGGAGATTTCTGTTTTGCTGTCCTTTGTGGTTAAAACTCACAGCTGTAGAATAGACCTCACTACTGTCAGGAAGAGCCAGGAGCAGAGCATATGCTTTGGACCCAGGGTCCCTGCACGGAAAACCTCCTAGACTCAGGAGAGAGCGAAAACTAACAGTGGCCATAGCATGAGACAGTGCAGGTCAGCATAAGGAGCAAGAACCAGGAGACCAGAGTGAGGCAGCCGCAGGGTGCTCAGCCCCCTGCAGAGCGATAAATAGGTGAGCACCTTCAGGCTGTCAGTGGAGCAAAAGAGCTGTAACACTTGCCTGAGCAGAGAAGAGGCCCGGGCAGAGGACCAATTGGGAGATGCCTTGGTTCCTTGGTTGGGAGTTGTCCTAATTGAAGAGCTCCACCTGTCTTCTGAGTTGTATCCAGTGACCTGTCTCCACGTTGATCCTGATCCTGAGTTGTTACTTTCTTAATAAGCCCCATAACCGTGAGTATTCGGTATGAGTTTCGTGTGACCTCATTAAAGGAATCATTAAACCCAACAGAGAAACAGTGCCACAGGGCGGAAGACTGCCGTCAGAATGGGTAAAAAAATAAAAAGGATTGGAGAGTAGCGGTATAAAGGGCTACCTCCCTCCCCCCTCTCCCCCCCAAAAAAAAACAAAAACAAAAACGAGTTTTGTTTTCGGAGTTATATATTTAATTTTTTTTACAAAGCAACCTTATCACCTTCAAGGTACTCTCCATTACACTTAATACATTTGCCAAATCTGTGATTCCATTTTTGGAAATATTCTTCAAACTCATCTGTTTGGATGGCTGACAGCACCTCCCTCGGTTTTTTTTCTTCACCTCTTCTATATTGCCAAATTGCTGTCCTTTCACATCCCTCTTCATTCGTGCAAACAGAAAGAAGTCGCACAGAGCAAGTTCAGGTGAGCAAGGTGTGTGGGGCAAGAGAGGCATGCTGGTTTTTTTGTTTGTTTTTTAATCATTTTATTGGGGCTCGTACAATTATCACAATCCATCCATCCATCCATCCATCGTCTCAAGCACATGTGTACATTTGTTGCCATCATCGTCAAAACATCTGCTTTCTATTTGAGACCTTGGTACCAGCTCCTCATTTTCCTCCCTCTCTCCTTGCTCTCCCCGCCCTCATGAACCCTTGATAATTTATAAATTATTATTTTGTCATATCTTACACTGTCCTACATCTCCCTTCACCCACTTTTCTGTTGTCCACCCCCCAGGGAGGAGGTCACATGTAGATTCTTGTAATTGGTTCCCCCTTTCTACCTCACTTCCCTCCACTCTCCTGGTATCGCCACTCTCACCACTGGTCCTGAAGGGGTCATCTGTCCTAGATTCCCTGTGTTCCCAGTTCTATCTGTACCAATGTATATCCTCTGGTCTAGCCAGATTTGTAAAGTAGAATTGGGATCTTGATAGTGGGAGAGGAAGCATTTAAGAACGAGAGGAAATTTGTATGTTTCATCGTTGATACCCTGCACCCTGACTGGCTCATCTCCTCCCCATGACCCTTCTCTAAGGGGGTGTCCAGTTGCCTACAGATGGACTTTGGGTCTCTACTCTGCAATCACCCTCATTTACAATGATATGACATTTTTGTTCTTTGATGCCTGATACCTAATCCCTCCGACACCTCATGGTCACACAGGCTGGTGTGCTCCTTCCACATGGGCTTTGTTGCTTCTCAGCTAGATGGCTGCTGTTTATCTTCAAGCATTTAGGACCCCAGACGCTATATCTTTTGATAGCCAGGCACCATCAGCTTTCTTCACCACATTTGCTTATGCACACATTTGTCTTCAGTGATCATATTGGGAAGGTGGGCACCCACTGATAAGATTTTTTGTTCTTTGATGCCTGGTCCCTTCTACACCTCGTGGTCACACACGTGTGCCTCTTCCATGTGGCCTTTGTTGCTTCTGAGCTAGATGGAGAGGCATGCTGTTTTTTGCCAAAAACTGGTGCACTGAGATTGCTGCGTGAGCAGGTCCATTGTTGTGGTGGCAAAACCAGTCCCCAGTCTCCCACAAATCAGGGCTTTTTAAAAAAAATAATTTTACTGGGGGCTTGTACAACTCTTATCATAATCCATCCACCCATCCATTGTGTCAAGCACATCTGTACATTTGTTGCCATCATTATTCTCAAAACATTTTCTTTCTACCACTGTAGCCCTGGTATCAGCTCCTCATTTTTCTCCCTCCCTCCCCACCTCCCCTCTCATGATCCCTTGATAATTTATAAATTATTATTTTGCCTTGTCTTACACTGTCCGATGTCTCCCTTCACATACTTTTCTGTTGTTTCCCCCACCCCCCCACAGGGAGGGGTTATATGTAGATCCTTGTAATCAGCTCCCCCTTTCTACCCCTCCATCCTTCCACCCTCCCAGTATTACCATTGGTCCCAAAGGGTTCATCTGTCCCAGATTCCCTGTGTTTCCAGTTCCTATCTGTACCAGTGTACATCCTCTGGTCTAGCCAGATTTGTAAGGCAGAATTGGGATGATAGTGGTTGGGGGGTGTGTGTGTGGAGGAAGCATTAAAGAACTAGAGGAAAGTTGTATGTTTCAGCGTTGCTATACTGCACGCTGACTGGCTCATCTCCTCCCTGCGACCCTTCTGTAAGGGGATGTCCAGTTGTCTAAAGATGGGCTTTGGGTCTCCACTCTGCACTCCCCCTCATTCACAATGATATGATTTTTTGTTCTTTGATGCCTGCTACCTGATCCCTTTGACACCTCATGATCACACATGTGTGCTTCTTCCATGTTGGTGTTTTGTTGCTTTGTTTTTCTGTCTTATTTTGGGGCATATTATCTCTGCAGGTCTATCTAGATAAGATAGGCTGGATAAACAATCTAGAGGAGAAAAGAACGGGACCGACAGTTCCGGGGGACATGGGAGAGGGGGAGGGGGAGGAAAAGAAGTGGTGTTAACACACCCAGGGACAAGGGAACAACAAGTGATCCAAAATCGGTGGCGAGGAGGGTGTAAGAGGCCTGGTAGGGCTTGATCAAAGATAATGTAACCCAGAGGAATTACTGAAACACAAATGAAGGCTGAGCATGACAGTGGGACAAGAGGAAAGTAAAAGGAAGTAGAGGAAAGAACTAGGAGGCAAAGGGCATTTATAGAGGTCTAAATAAAGGCATGTACATATGTAAATATATTTATATATGATGATGGGGAATCAGGCCTTTTTTTGTTGCACTCTGTCACACAATCTTTTCAGAACCTCTAGATAGAAAGCATGATTAACAGTCTGACCTGGTGGAACAAACTCCAAATGCACTATGCCCCTCGCATTGGAAAAAAAAAAAAAAGCATCAGTTTTTTATGGGGTGCCCCCTCATACGTCTGACCCTCACCTTGTAGGAATGAGCTTTGGGCTGATTATCCTCCCCTCTCATGAAGTTAGAGAACCTCACACACAACTGCTAACTTACAGGAGGCTCTAATAAGAAGAACAAGAGGGTTTCCCAACTAGACCTGCTGGTTTCTGGTGTTCACTGGGCCTACCGATCAACTCAAAGGTCAAGATCTTAGATAAAGGAAGATATTCAGCACAGAGAAGTTCTAGAATCGTGCAAGACCGACAAGCACAGAAAGAGAATACTCCAATGCCAAGGTCCTGCTTCGACAGCATCCAAGACTACCTTCCAGAGGCAGAAAAGGATCCTTGTGGAATTGTTCCCAGCTGCCATGGCCCGACTTCCCTGGCATGGACACTGTCACTACTTCTCGCTAATCTGACCTAGGTGATGGTAAGGACACCCCCTACCTAAAGCACTACACTCTTTCAACCCATCAGCACAACAAGTCTCGAGGTCAAGTCTGCTCCTGCACTGGCCCGGGTACCCTCTCATCTTCCTCTGGAAGCAGGGCGACGCCGACCCCTGGGGCACGCGGCCCTACTCACTGGGGGCTGGGCGATGAGGTCGGTGAAGTCTTGCATGGAGGCCAGGGCCAGCCCCTGCAGCTGGCTCGTCATGAGCGTGGCGGCGCAGTTGAAAAAGGACTCCAGTTTGGCACTGCTGTCGCCAGTTGGCAATTGCTTCTTCTTATTACCTTGGTAATAAATGTTCTGCACTTCCGGAAACCACCTGGAGAGAATGAAAGACTTTGAAAAGTTGACTGCTTGTAACTCCTCTTAGGGCCGCGTTCACGGTCATTTCTGGACCCTCAAAGGTCTTCCCCGAGAGGGACAGGGCTCGGTGACATCATCCGCTCCCCGAAGCTAAGCCCTAGCGGCTTTCGCTCCTCTAGTGAAAGAGAGTTCAAATCCTCGCCAACAGAACGTTACTCCACGAAGGAGGTTCGGGATGGGAACACACATCTCCCTCCGGGGACTTGGGGCCGGCCCGCTTTACAGAGAGACTGAACCGCTTCCTGGATGTCATGCAATCGGAGTGGTCCCCTGCAGGGGTGTTATCTGTGAGCAAGCCAAGGCGGGCCCAAGCACACGCTGGGCAGGTGGGGGTGCACGAACCAACATGGAATTGAACAAAACCGCGCGTTTTATTTTCCTATCCTCTTCAATGTGGAATCTTGAAAGAACGGGTGCTTTAAAATAAGGTTTTAACAAAGTGTTGAAGGAAACAGGCAGCAGACACCAAAGAACAAAAACCATCATTGTGTGACCACCTTCCACACATAAACGCTGAAGACGAATGTGTGCATAAGTAAGTGTGGTGAAGAAGGCTGATGGTGCCCGGCTATCGAGACCTATAGCGTCTGGGGACTTAAAGGCTTGAAAGTAAACAAGC